GCATTCGCCCGCCTCGCCGCCCGCCTTCGCTCCCGCTCCAGGCGCCGGTCCTCCAGCAGCGCCCGCTTCACCTCGGGCATCAGCGCGCTGTAGTGCAGCTGAAAGTGCAGGTAGCAGTCGTTGAACTCCTCCACGCTCTCCACCGCCTGCACGCGGCCAATGTCCCGCCGGGTGACGCGCCGGTGCCCAGATGGGAGCTCCGCAGCGGCCGGGTCCTCGCTCCGCGCAATCAGCGCCACCTGGTAGCTGGCCACGCTCTCGTACATGTTCACCAGGTTGCGCTTGCGCTCCTTCAGCTGGCACCACTTCTCGTCCCACTTGTAGATCAGCCAGAGGTCGTTGATGTCCAGCTCCGGGGCGTAGTACTCCTTGCGGTAGTAGGCGATGAACGGCACCTCGAGGTAGTCGTTGCGCATGAAGTGCAGCACCTCGCTGATGTTCCCCAGGACGGTGTCCGGCTTGCGGCCGCCGTGGGGCCCCCGGCCGCTCGGGTTGAGCTTCTCCTGCCGCGTGACCATGTCCATGGTGAAGAGGTTCTTGTAGATCCAGGCCGATTCCTCCTTGATCTCCTCCTCGCCGCAGGGCGTCACCTTGATGGCGCGCAGCTGAAAGCGCTCCGGCGAGTCGGTGTTGCGGATCTCATTGTCCCGGGAGGTGAGGTGACTTCGTTCGAGCTCCGCCGGCTCGTACAGCTCAAAGATGCTCTTGCGGGCGGGGTGGCGGCGTTTCTTCTTCCCCGAGGCGCCTTTGGGACGACCCTCGCCGCCGTACTCGTCCTCCAGGTCCTCCTCCTCCTCCATGTCCTCCATGTCTTCGTCCTGGTCGAAGCCGCCCTCGCCGTCCTCGTCGGCGTACTTGTTCACCTCGGCGTAGTCAAAGTCGACGCCGAAGACGTCCTGCGCCTGCTGCAGCGCCTGGTCGGTGAAGCGTTCGCTCTTTTTGGTTCGCTGGCGGCTCGCTATCGGCCGGTCGTTGTCGTCCACGATGAAGCCGTCGTCGTCGTTCTCCGAGTTCTCCGAGTCGATGCCCGCGTAGTGGTCATCCAGTGCCTGGCGGTCGATGCGGTCTCGAGGATCGCCGGCTCCAGGGCCACGTCCTCCTCCACGGCCGCTTCGGTGGCTGGCCGCGTCGTTGAAGTCATCGTCGTCATCGTCGTCGTTGAAGAGCTCATTGGCGATGGCGTCCCGCTCGTTGGTGATCACTTTGGGTCGACCGCCAGCGCCGCCGCCGCCACCCTGTCCGCCATCCTCGTCGTCATCCTCGTCGAGGCGTTTGATGCGGCGAAACTTCTTCTTCCGCTCGATCCGCGTCCCCAGGTTCTCCTCAATCAGGTCGTAGTCGTCGTCGTCCAGGTTCTCCTCCAGCTCCTCGTCCTCGTCCTCGCGAGAGCGCTTGTGGCCGTGCTTGCCGATCTCCCCTTCGGAGTCGTCCTCCGAGTCGCCCTCCTCCTCCTCGACGTCATCGTTGATCAGGTCCTTCATCTCCTCGCGGATTCTCGCTTCTGGGAGAGTGCAGAGAATCCAAGGGGGTTAGCCCGTCAACAAAAGTCAGCGGTCTTTGTCTTTCTTTGTTTGTTTACACTTACCATCCTCGTCATCGTCCTCGTCGTCGTCGTCCTCCTCCTCGTCCGAGTCGGCAATCCGCCGGCTGGTCTTCTTGTGGCGGCGGATCTCCTCGCGGACCTCATCGTCCTCGCTGCCCTCGGACACCTCCGCCTCGTGGTCGAAGAACTGCGACATTCGTGGTCGACGTCGTTCTTGTTGCTCTTGATGATGATGATGTTCTTGGCGTGATGGAAACAGAAGAAAGGGAAAGAAAGAGATTTTGATGATCAATAGAGAGAGGGACAAAACAAGAGACAGGAGAAAAGCGTGCCTCGTTTCTGGCGGTAGAAAAAATCCGCTGCTGCGGCTGCTCACCGACACACAAAACACACACACACAAACTCACTGCGATG